ATTAGTTGTCCCTATAGCCAAGATGTGTGGAGAATGGGATTTTGTAGGCTCAATGCTCCTTATGTAGGCTTTGGTACTTGGGCAGTCTTCGAGAGATGGTTAAGGAGAAGTTACCCAACTGCTGCTGAAAACAACTTGAGGCTTTTCATGGCTCAAGAGCTTATCTACGCTTTGTGGAAACAACGGAATGATCGCATCTTCAACAACAATGCTCTCCTTGCGGAAGAATTGTTTAAGAGGGTGGATAGAGGTGTTCGAAATACTTGTTTTGCTCGAAAGGAAAGACAAGGTTTTGAGGATTCTCTAACTTTATGGTTCAGAGGTACTTAACCTCTAGTGTAAATTATTTTCCTTATGCTTTATGCTTTTATACCTTCATGGCTTTTGGTCGAAGGTCCTCTTTTTATTTCTTTGTAACCAGCTCCTAAAGTATGAAATACAACCAGATCTTTAAAAAAAAAACACATTATACATATTAAATATTTATAGAAATCTGACCATGAAAAGGTGAAGCTTTATGTTAGGTGTTATTAAATATCTCAGAAATATGTATAACAAAATGAAAGGAATTCAAATGGAATAGTAGTGAACTATAGGAGCAAGTGAATCTTAATAATCTAATTGAAAGGAGATCCAATAAACTACACATCCAAGTAAAAACACAAACTCGAAAAAATAATATTAAAATCGAAAATATGTACGTGGACCAAACCATGTTGTAATATTTTGAGGGTATATATAACACAAATGTATCCTGAGAAACATGGAATAAGTCAAATCTAATGACTCGAACCCTCAAATCGAAATTATCGAATACGAGGTTGCATGTGGTTGATCCACAGAGAGAATATACCAACTCATTCCTCATCTCAAGCTTCTTTTGTGGGTCCAACCATGACCCGATCAAGAATGTTGCAGTCTTTAATCGGCAAGAATTTCTCAAGATATATGTAGCCATATCTCTACCTTCTGCAGTTGGATTGTAACATATCCACTTGAAAGTTTGGAGGCTCGACAACAAACATTGAGGAACATGAACCAGCTGCTTCCAGCAGACCGATGTATCCATACCATCTCGTGCATGGCTTCCCTAAGATTTAAGAAACGAGCAAAGTAAGATTTTACGATAAGGGTGAAGAATTAGACCAAAATAATATTGTCTATCGAAGAAACTTACATCCAACTCAAAGTCTCGTAGTTTGGGAGAACTTTTGAGCAACCAAAGTAGTAAATTCGACCAATTTGGGTACCATATGCCAAACTCAAGATGCTCAAGCTCATTAAAGACAATATCATCACCATATAAAGACTGTGCAGAGGAAGGTTTAATTAGTATTCTACGTGATAGACAAAGTGAGACTGAAGACTTTGAAGTTTATCAACTGATTCAAATTACCTCTGCTGCATTGTCGCCTACTACGGATAATGAAAGCCGTTTGACAGAAGTGACAGGTTTTAGAAGCTTCCTGACATTGGGGAATCCATGAAGAGATATATCCGCCTCTTCCAGCTTCGGCGTATTTGCAATGAACCAGGATGAATTCCTAATAGAATCACTAGCTTTGAAATACTTCAAAGAAGGAGTATCTATCACATACCTAACACAAGTACAAAAACCAAAAGTCTCCAAGGATAAACTAAGCAATGACGGGATGATAAGAGCCAACTTTCGCACTTTGTCACCTTGACATCGTTCCACAATCAGATGTTCGAGAACAGAGCAATTGGATAAAAGACTTTGAAGAGATTCTTTATTTGCATATCTCAAACATCGAAGGTGCAAAGTTTTCAAGGAAGACAAACCACACGAGGAACATCCACGAGAACCCCGTAGTTCAGTTTCAATGTCACAAGAGATTTGCAAGTATACAAGCTACTCGGCAGGAATGCATAACAAGAAGTTGTAGTTAGCTCACGCAGACAGCGAGAAACCGCAATCTCAACCCACAATTTGAAATCTTCAGGTGTAAACGGTGCACTTCAAAACTCAATATACAAACTCTCTATGACGGGAGCTCTATGTAATGGCAGATTCATGTTAATAAAACGCCGCATCCTCTCGCTTTTCGACCGATTATATTTGATCTTCTTGGTGTCAACGTAGCGAAGTTTTGTTACACGCATCCAAAGAAAATTCCAGTGTTTGGACAAAACACTAGTGCTTACAGCCACTTTTGTCGGAAGAAACGATAAAATCTTCACGACCAATTCATCATCAGAGTAACCAATGATCTTGTCCATATCTTATTACGTACTCAAACCCCAACAAGAGACTTGAGTTTTTTCTGAGCCACACTGAATTAAAGTAACAAGTAACAACCAAAGACGGACGCAGAGAATAATATAAAAACAGAGCAACAGAACAAAAACCCTAGTAAATTTGTACACAAACATGGGTTTGATCGCGAATAAGAAGTAGATATAATAAAATATTAGAAAAGTAAGGGGTAAAATTGCAAATTAAAGAGAAAAGATACATACGACGTCGTTTTTTGGTGGTGGTCCTTCTTCGTCAACTGTGACAAGAATAGAAATTGATCGTCGTCAAATCCGTCAGACTC